TGCTCGCCGTCGACGCCGGTACTCCAGCTCGACGAGAGGAGTACGCAGCATCGACGGGGGAGCCTCCCTGCCGCGTCTGGACCCGCGGTAAGTTCGAACTAAGGTACTTCGAATTCAGCTACGTTATTAACATAGCTGAATTTGCGTACCTTAGTTCGAAGTGGGGGGGTTAGTGTGGACCAGGCCTTACACATCCAGAAGAAGGAAGTAGGATTTGCCTTTTAGGAAGTATTCCTTTACCAGAGATTTTCTTTTTGACAAGCAGCTTAGGAAAATGCTGAACTGTGATCTTTAAGTTAATATACATTTTCACCTAAGCCAAGTGATAAACGAGTATAGTTTTGAATTTTTCAGGCTTGCAAAATCTTTGAGAAGTCTCCACACATCCAATGTACAGTAGTGTGTTATGTCACATAAAACTAATCTGAATCCTTGTAGTGAGTAAATACTCGACAGGTACTTCACTACCAACAGGTTAATATCATGATTAGATCCATTAACTAGATATTTAGATATGTATAGTCTTCTAATTTACCAGTTACCATGGCAATAATAATCCCCTTCTGTTTATAGATGCCAGCATTTTTGTAATAAATTTTAACACTGAATGCCCTTGTGTTTTTTGTTTTTTAATATAGTGTGTTGTCTTTAATTGCTCCGATGGTCTTGATTACAAAGCCATGGGTAAATTCTTTAAGGGACTGGCACAATCTGGAGCTTGGGCCTGCTTTGATGAGTTCAACAGAATTGAGGTAACTTTTTAACTAAAGCATTTATAACAACAAAAATGTAGTTAAAAAATGCAAAGAATAGCTTTAAAAGAAGACATGAATATGTAGTACCATTAATTTCCTACTTTTAGCACAGCTTGTAACCTAGGCCCAGGTTTTCATAATTACATGCATACACGGCTGCCATAGTGCATGCACATATTTTGACAGGGACAGTGTGGTCTGCGTAGATAGAGCATTGGAACTCTGGAGTGGGTTCAAACCCTGGCTCTGCCACTAGCCTGTTGAGTGACCTTGGGCAAGTCACTTTGCCTCTCTGTGTCTCAGTTTCCGCATCTGTAAAATGGGGATAATGATACTCACCTCCCTGTAAAGCACTTTTACATCTACTGATACTGGATAAGACTAGGTATTATTAGCTGTGAACATCTGGGTCCTACATTTTTAGTTTTAAGAGCTATTGACAGATAGTCTCTCTGTACCTTCTCTTCTTCCAATACATGGGATTTTTAAAATGCACTCACCATTGGCCTAACTCTCTCCTCCTGTGACTTTCACCACTGACTTCACTGGAAGCAAAATTAGGCCAATGCTAAATACTTTTGAAAATTCCATCCATAATCTGTCTGTTCTGTATGTTATAGTATTTTGTGTATTCTTTATTGTCTATTCTGTCACATTCATTGTTCCACTACATTAGATTTTGTTAGCCTGTACACGCCAGTGAAGTTGAAAGCCAGCATTTTAATTTTCTAAAATTCTTTTATTCTGGTACTTCAAGGCAATTTCCATCTCTAGGAGGACTTCAACATAAACCCATTAAGATATATATATTTATTTTTTAAAACCCTCTTTAGGCCAGAAATGCTGCTTTTATGTTGGTTCCATGTATGGGATGTTTTCTAATCTGTTTCTTTATTATTAGGTTGAAGTGTTGTCTGTAGTTGCACAACAGATACTCAGTATACAGCAGGCTATTGTGCGAAATCTGAAAACGTTCCTCTTTGAAGGCACAGAGATCTCTCTTAATCCAACCTGCGCTGTCTTCATCACTATGAATCCTGGGTATGCTGGACGGGCAGAACTTCCTGATAATCTAAAGGTAATTCTGGAGTTCTGATTTCTAGTATGAATGAAACACAATTTACAGTTTTGATTCCAATGTAGTATGGATAGTGCAAAAGCAACTGTGTAATATAAGGGCATAATTCCATTTAGGTGTTCTCATTCTGGTTCATTAGTGGTTAAGCTTTAATAATGTGTTTAGTGGTGCACAAAATGAATAGACAATAGGCCTGAATCTGATCTCATTTATACCAGTTTTACACTAGTCAACACTGTTGACGTCCATTGAGTTACTCCTGAATTACACTGGTGTAAGTGAGGCTGGAATCAGGCCCTGTCCTCTGAATCCCTATTTTTGTGAGTGGTCTCGTGGTAGTCAATGGGAGTACTGATATGAGTAAGGAATGCTCACATTAATCCGCATTGGCAGGATCAGGCTCTAGAGACTCACTATTATACTCACTAGTATGCTATTCTTGGGCAAACCAGGGGCGTTGTTGCTGTTTTGACAGTTTCTGTCTGCTCCAGTGACAATCCCCATTGTGTGTAAAGAGAATCTCTCTGAAACTGCTAGAATATATCAAAATGGAAAAAACATATTAAGTTCATCCACTGTACAGGTACGCCCACATGGAATCCCATTGACTTCAATAAATAACATTGTTTAAGATCCTTAATCATTAAAATAATATGGGCCTTATTCTATGCTGATTTACTATCCCAGTAATCCTGTTGAAATCAATAGAATTGCACAGGGTGTAGGTCGGTGCAGAATTTGGTCTCACATCTATACACTTACACAACAAATCAATGCATTTGTGTTTAAATTGAAGGTAATTTCCTTTTGCTTTTATCAGCCAAGACCAGAGTTTAGGGGTCTGTGCTTCTCTTGTAATATATGATGGTATTGTCACAGTTTCAGGGTAACCACACCTTTAACCCCAGTCCACTTCAGGAATGCCTCTGAGGTTTAAGGCCTCTGGCCTTCACCTCTCTGTGGATAGGGACCTGTGTGCTACTCCCTTCTCCCTTTTAGGTTGTAGCTCCCTAGAATTCACTGTGATATCCCCAGCAAGCTAGTCTGTCTAAAGGCCAGCGCCTATGCTTTGCTTTCTCTCCAAGAGCTATGAACAGTGCATGCCAGCAGTAACACGTCACCATGCAGCTCTTTCTCAGCAGAGTGCATTATTCAGGATAAAGTGCATACAGAGGAAACATATAAAAAACAATAAAAGGTTCTACATGCTTGCTAAACACTCCAAACATCATCCACCAGTCCTATGGGGCCCTGCTAAGCCAAAAGCCTTCCAACACTACAGCAAGTGTTGGGAGCCCCCTAAGATCAATGGTCCTGTCTGTTTGCTGAATCAAAAGAAAAACCCTGAGTCTGTTTAAACTCAGCCTTTTATATCCCAAGTTCTTTCTCAGTTCCTTGCCTCTCCTCCGGGACCGCCTTAAACCAGGGACTATAGTAATCACCCCCTAGTAATTTTCCCTCCTTGGAGTTGCACACAGTCCCCTGCCCACAATGATAGATAAAACATTAATAAACGCAATACAATATAGTCCCCAAAGATACTGCATGTTGCTGCAATATGTGTCACAGACATGGGCAGTGGGTGAACCCCCACTTTGGGGAGGCTAGCCCACCAACCCTTCCCCTTCTGCCCAAGGCCCTGCCCCTCCTGCATGCCGGAGCCCCAAGCCCCGGCGCCCCTGGTAACAGGAGAAGCCCTGTGGGGCTCCCCCGTGACCTGAGGAGCCCCGGCCAGCCCGTCCCAGCCACACTGGGCCAAGCTGCCAGCCCCCCCGCCCCTTATGGGCCCCCTAGCGAAGTCGCCGCCCCCTACCCTGGTCAGCGCTGGTCCAAGCCACTGGCTCCCCCTAGGCGCCAGGCCAGCCCCAGCACCAGGCCGAGCCACCATACCCCCAACGGCCCCCCCAGCTGAGCTGCTGGCCCGCCAACCCCTGAAGGCCCTCTCCTGTCCGAGCCACTGGCCCCCACCGCCAGTGCTGGGCCAGCCCCCCGAGCTCCGGACCCTCCCACCCCTGAAGGCTCAGCTGCCAGCCCCAGCGCCTGGCCAAGCCTCCTCACTCCCCCACCCCCTGCTGGCTCTCTGCATCCCTCCTCACTCCCCCATCCCCGAGGAGGAGGGACATGACAAGCAGCAGGGACCTTTAGAGTGGGGATGGAGTAGAGGAGACATGGCAGGCAGGCAGCAGGAGCAGACAGTGGGGGCCTCGGGGAAGGGAATGGGGCCACCGCAGCCCAGGTGTCTGGCGGCGGGTCAGCGGCAGCGCCAGCCTTCCCTGGGCTATTATACCCACAGCCTATGGTCACAGGCATCTCACTAAAGTTTATGACCAAATAAATGTGTTAGTCTCTAAGGTGCCATAAGGACTCCTCGTTGTTTTTGCTGATACAGACTAAGGCCTGGTCTACACTACGAGTTTAGGTCGAATTTAGCAGCGTTAAATCAAATTAAGCCTGGACACATCCACACGACGAAGCCCTTTTTTTCGACTTAAAGGGACCTTTAAACTGGTTTCTTTACTCCACCTCCGACGAGGGGATTAGCGCTGAAATTGGCCTTTCTGGGTCGGATTTGGGGTAGTGTGGACGGAATTCGACGGTATTGGCCTCTGGGAGCTATCCCAGAGTGCTTCATTGTGACTGCTCTGGACAGCACTCTCAACTCAGATGCACTGACCAGGTAGACAGGAAAAGCCCCGCGAACTTTTGAATTTCATTTCCTGTTTGCCCAGCGTGGAGAGCACAGGTGACCACGCAGAACTCATCAGCACAGGTAATCATGATGGAGTCCCAGGATCGCAAAAGAGCTCCAGCATGGACCGAACGGGAGGTACGGGATCTGCACGCCATATGAGGAGACGAATCAGTGCTAGCTGAACTCTGTAGCAGTAAACGAAATGGCAAAATATTAGAAAAAGTCTCCAAGGCCATGAAGGACAGAGGGCATAACGGGGACGCACAGCAGTGCCGCGTGAAAATTAAGGAGCTAAGGCAAGCCTACCACAAAGCCAGAGAGGCAAACGGAAGGTCCGGGGCAGAGCCGCAGACATGCCGCTTCTACATGCCATGCTAGGGGGTGCAGCCACCACTACCCCAACCCTGTGCTTTGACTCCATCAATGGAGAATCACGCAACAGGAAAGCGGGTTCGGGGTACGAGGAAGATAGCTCACAGCAAGGAAGCACAGAAACCGGTTTCCCCAACAGCCAGGATATGTTTATCACCCTGGATCTGGAACCAGTAACCCCTGAACTCACCCAAGGCATGCTCCCAGATCCTGAGGGCGCACAAGGGACCTCTGGTGAGTGTACCTTTGTAAATATTACACATGATTTAAAAGCAAGCGTGTTTAATGATTAATTTGCCCTGGCAATCGCGGCCAGTACAGCTACTGGAAAAGTCTGTTAACGTGTATGGGGATGGAGTGGAAATCCTCCAGGGACATCTCCAGAAAGCTCTCCTTGATGTACTCCCATAGCCTTTGCAAAAGG